CCAGGATCAAGGCAGCATAAAAGTGACTTAAAGATCCTCTCTTCCCCGGTTCTTCCAAGAAGCACGGCTCAATTATATTGGTTTATCCAGCCTCTGACAATACAAAGGGAAAATAGTGGGTGGGAATAGGTATAGATTTAATGTGTATGTATGCCTAAAATCTGAGATGACCAAGAGTTGCTCTGTCACTTCTGTTCTACATTCCAACTATTTTGTTAGGGACTGTTCTGTCTGATCTCAAAGTGACTAGGTAGAAGAACAAGCCAGCTTTCTCCAAAAAGTGTGCCCAAAGAAGCAAGTTAGAGGACAAAGCAGAGTAGCCAAGACAGTCGTTCGTATTGTTAGAAGTGACTTTCACACTCACTGTTCCACTGTATCTTCAGTTGGATCACAGGCTGTCAATTTTTGCTAAACTTAATATACCATTTTGCAAATACTTATGCACATAATTTTGCTAAATAGTCAGTTGACTTCATGGGACTAGTTGCAAATGTGCTTGCAGAATGAGGCCCTAATTTAAGAGTCAACTTTGCATTTCCCATGACTTAAAGATAGAATTCACTGTTTAGTTTAACTTGAATGTTCAGATCAGTGCCTATTAGTGGATTGAGCACTGATTTGGTCTCGGGAGACCTAGCTTCTGTCCCTGACTCTGCCTCTGGCCTGCTGGATGATTTTGGACAAGTCACTTCAGCTCTCTATCCCACATTTCCCCCTTCTCTAAAACGAGGATAATGGATACTGACCTCCTTTAAAAGACATTTTGAGATCTGCTGATGAAAAGTGCTATAAAAGAGCTTAGTAGTATTTTCATTGCTTCTGCGGCATATGCCACCAAATGTTTGGTTTTTATACAATTGCTTCCATGAGAAGCTTGTGTGTATACAGTTCCTATTAGAATTTGAGAGTAAAGACAAGGATCTAGAAGTTCAATTTTGAAAAACGCCTTTCCCAGCTTTTCATTTGGAGATTGGACCCCTTCCCTTCTTTTGTCCACATGATATGCTTTGCTCAAATCTTATGTAAAATCATCTGGACTAGAATGAAACTCCGTCCCCATTAAAGTAAATAGCAGTTTTGCCATTGACTTTCAGTGGGATCTGGATTACACTCCCCATCGCCTTAAACTTGATCCAGTATTCTGTGGGGATCAAGTAAAGTGACCAAAGCATCAGAGTGATGTGCTTCTGTCACCCTGTTGGTGACCATTGATTGGTCTGCTGCATTTTGCTCCAGTTGGAATTTTGTGTATGTCTCTTTGGTTTCATTCCAAATTACACAGTACATCATAATAATCAAACTTGGAGTTCACAATTCATGGGTCATTGTAGATAGGTTTGAATCTAATGGGATGGGGTATAGTTTCTTGGCTAGCCAAAGGTGGAAGAAGGTTTTTTTGCTGCTGTTTCTAGTAGGGTTACCATTCGTCCGGATTTACCCGGACATGTCCTCCTTTTTGTGTTAAAAATAGCATCCGGGGGGGAATTTGTAAATCACTCAAAATGTCCGGGATTCCCCCCGAGGCAGAGCAAGGTGCGGCTGGGAGGGCTGCAGGAAAGTCAGCCTCTTGCATGGGGCTCTGGCAGCCAGAGCCCTTCCCCTGCAGCTTGCCGGGCTAGATTCCGGAGCAGCTGTAGAGCTCCTCCCCCCCCCCTCGCATTCTGAGCCGGCCGGCCTGCCGGGCCGTTTGCATCGGCCTCGGCAGCCCCTCCTCCCCGGCAGCCCAGCGCCCGCTCC